TGAATGGTGCAGCAGCAGCAGCAGCAGATGCAGCAGCAGAACAGCAGCAGCAGCAGCAGCTGAGCGCACACGATGACGCTGCTGGTGAGGTACCATTTGGCCCTGCATTACCAGCAGCAGCAGCAGCAGCAGCAGCAGATGCAGCAGCAGCAGCAGCAGGAGAAATATCTCCATCTGCAGCAGCAAGTGGTGGTCTTGAGGACTTAGGTTTATCTGAAGTAGGTGATTTGCTGCTGCAGCAGCAGCAGCAGCAGCAGCAGCAGCAGGAGCAGCAAGAGCATGAGGATGAGTTTACGCAGCAGCTGCATGCAGCAGCAGCAGAAGAATATGAAGAATATGAAGACAGCATAAATATAAAAAATAAAAAACATTTTGCTTCTCTTGTCTTTGGTTGTCGTTCTGTCTCCTCCTTTAAACGCCTAAATAAAATAAGCGAGGGCACTTATGGTGCTGTCTTTAGGGCCCTAGACCTCACCACAAAGGAAATTGTTGTAAGGGTTTAGGGTTTAGGGTTTAGGGTTTAGGGTTTGGGGTTTAGGGTTTGGGGTTTAGGGTTTGGGGTTAGGGTTTAGGGTTTAGGGTTTAGGGTTTAGGGTTTGGGTTTCACGTTGAAGGCACTTATGGTGCTGTCTTTAGGGCCCTAGACCTCACCACAAAAGAAATTGTCGTAAGGGTTTAGGGTTTAGGGTTTAGGGTTTGGGGTTTAGGGGGTGGGTTTAGGGTCTAGGGTTTAGGGTTTAGGGTTTAGGGTTTAGGGTTTGGGGTTTAGGTTGAAGGCACTTATGGTGCTGTCTTTAGGGCCCTAGACCTCACCACAAAAGAAATTGTTGTAAGGGTTTAGGGTTTAGGGTTTAGGGTCTAGGGTTTAGGGTTTAGGGTTTGGGTTTAGGGCTGGTGGTGGTGCTGCTGCTGCTGTTTAGGGTTTAGGGTTTAGGGTTTAGGGTTTCCGCTGCTGCTGTTTGTTTGTTTTTGTTGTTTCTGCTGCTGCTGCTGCATCTCCTGCTGCTGCTGCTGCTGCTGCTGCTGCTGCTACTTTAACCCCATCAGTTGCAGTCTTTTCATAGAATCTGTACTTTCTGTGTCTGCTGCTGCTGCTGCTGCTGCTGTTGCTGCTGCTGCACCTCCCCCTCCTCCCCTTCTGCTGCTGCTGCTGCTGCTGCTGCTGCTGCTGCTGCTGCTGCTGCTGCTGCAGGCCCTGAAGCAAGTGAAGTACCACGCTAAGCTGTGGGGCGAGGGTTTCCCGGTGACGTCTTTGCGAGAG